ATGGTGTACCAGTCACCTGGACTAATTATTTCCATGTGTCTTTGGTTTTCTTCATTCTTCTTTGTTCTGGACAAGGAGAGACCCATCGTTGCATCTAGATGGCTGCTTGCAAGCTTTTAAGATCCCAGTAGTTACTCACCAAAGTAGGATGCAGAACAGTATTTTGTATAGTATGTTATGGTAATTGAGCTTGATGTCCCCTGCAACTATGGTCCCGAACCCACAGGTCCAACTACTCGCTACCTCTGGGTCACTGGCTGTGGTCAAGAAGTGACAGCAACCTTGCCCCTTGTCAGCTCTACTGTATACCTGGGAATTCTTACAGAGCATACAAATACACTTGCAGAAACATTGTCTGCCAACCTTATACATGATCTTGGCCATACTCCCCCCTGCATAGACATACTTAATCGTTCAGCCTGTGCACCCATCTATCCATCCATATATCAGTATTTCTGCTTGGCATTTTTTAAGCTGAAAGAAGTGAAGAAAGAATTAAAGCCTCAGGTTGGCAGTATTGAAGGATTATATTGGCATCATGTTGAATGATGCAGGAAGCATTAAAAAAGACAGAAGGAATAGACAGAGTCATTATACCAAAAATAATTGATCATTGTTCAAACATTTTAAGAGGTAGCTTATGACCAGGAACTGATGATATTAAAGGAAGAAGTCCAAGTTGTGCTGAAGGCACTGGCAATAAACAAGGCTTCAGAAATTGATAGAACACCCATTGAGATGTTTTGACAAATGGATGCAGCTCTCGAGGTGCTCATTTGTTTATGGCAAGAAATTTGGAAGACAGCTACCTGGCCTGTTGACTGGAATAGATCCATATTTGTGCCCATTCCAAAGACAGGTGATCCAACAGAATATGAAAATTGTCAAACAATACCATTAATATCATATGCAACCAAAATTTTGCTGAAGATAATTAAAAACAATTGCAGCAGTAGATCGACAGAGAACTGCCAGAAATTCAAACCAAATTCTGAAGAGGATGTGGAATGTGCAACATCATTGCTGATGTCAAATGGATCTTGGCTGAGAGCAAAGAATGCCAAGAATATTTACCTGTGTTTTATTGACTATACAAATAGTCTGTGTGGATCATAGCAAATTATGGATAACATTGCACAGAATGGGAATTCTAGAACACTTAATTGTACTCATGTGGAACCTGAACATAGACCAAGAGGCAGTTACTTGAAGAGAAC